ATTGAAAAATGTGTGGCTAAAAAAGAGTAGAAAAATGAGTATGAAAATTTTAATGTCCCTCAAACATGTGCTTAATAAATATCGATTACAAAGTATTTCGACCTAGAGTTCGAATCCAACTTTGTGTTATTAAAAAAAAAAATTCTTCCCTCCTAAAATTTTGGTTAGAATCATTTTTTTCCTCGTTTCTGAATATGAAATATGACAAAAAGAAAATGAAATAATTCCAGTGAAGAGTTAGTTACCCAGGAGCAATTAAGGTGTAGAAGTAACACGCATCAACAACATATGTTCAAGTCAATTATTATGGTCCAATGAAAGTGAAAGTGGACTTCACGAAGTTAAAACGCGTGAGAAGAAGTTGAACTTCCATAATTAGAAATTGATAATGCCAAACTAATTGCTATCCTGCCAGATCAAAGTACAACTTCTCAAAAATACTGTACAACATTCTCCTGCCAGATCAATGTACAACTTCTCAAATATACTGTACAACATTCTTATATGTATCTTATGCTATAGAAGTTGTACATTACAATCAGAAAAAATATGACATACAAAAAAAAAAATTAATCAGACACAAAAACTAAAGGAGTATCGAAGAAAGAGAGAGCGCGATCAGAGAAAGTACAAAGAAGAGTGGTCTTCAATTTTGTGATTCAGAAAAATATTTGAAAAAAAAAAAGAAAATCAGAATGCGAAGCAAATTTTGAAATGAAGACGCCAGCAATGGAAGAAGAAGCTACATGGTTGCCACGAACGAGTGAAAGGAATAATGAAATTAGAAGCCAAGAATTTGCTTATTAGTTTTCGTTGAATCTGAATTGGAGGAGCTTCAACAAGGTTAGCCCATCAATCATTTTTTATCCGTGAACTCTTATTTCTCTTGGAGTTTGAATCTTGGTGTAATTATTTCTATTCGTTTGGATTCTGAGCGTCAAATTCTGAGCTTGAAGTTGGAAATTCAAGCTTAAATATTTTATTGGAAAATTGGCATTTGGATTTTTAGAGTATTTTTGGTAAACAAATAAAATTGTGAGGTTTACTTGGAGTTGTGGGGAGGTATCTTTATTGGGTTCTTCAGGTTCCAATTGGATTAGTGAAATAAAGGTTTGTTGGTGTTTTAATTGTGATTTTTTTGGTTTAAGAGTTTGAAAGTTTTGTAAAATTGGGTTTTTGGAGGGAGAGTTAGTCCAATGGAAAATTTGGGATCTCTGTGTGCGGACTCAAACCACCAAGAAGTATAGGGTATAAAATTGAGGTTCTGAATATGGGTTTTTGTTTTGCATTCTTGGGGGGTCTATTAGGAGGATTAAAAGTTGTTTGGAAGATAGGTTTTTGGAGATGGAGTATAAAAACCCTAATTTAGTTCAAAGTTCTGTATCATTGTTGTAGCGGAGTGTGTTCTTGTTGTATGGATTCTGTGTGTTGAAGAGAGGGGGAGACAGAGATGCAACCACCACATCAGCATTCGCGGATCAATCTAACCGAATTGAAAGCTCAAATATTGAGTAAACTTGGGCTGGAGGGATCCAAGCAGTATTTTTATTACTTAAATAGGTTCTTGGGTTTGAAGTTGAGCAAGGTTGAGTTTGATAAGCTTTGTCTTAGGATTCTTGGGCGGGAGAATATTCCGCTGCATAATCAGTTCCTTCGTTCGATTCTGAAGAATGCTTGTAGTGCAAAGGTCCCACCACAGGTGAGTCATGAGGATGAAGTTCTGAAGCATGCTACTCAAGTTAGTAACAAGGAAATTCCTGGCGATGGTCATCAGCAGAATGGGTCCCATGCTGCTATAACGCAGGCTTCAGGTTCACTGGGTTTGTCAAATGGGGCCGACATGTTGTCAGTCTCACATCGAAAGGCCCGGACAGCGTATCGTGATCGGAGGACTAGTGAACGTCATAGTGCACTTGGACCAAATGGGAAGACTAGTTTTGCTTCTCAACAGTTGCCAGCCACTCAGTCTAGTGATTTCAATGTCATTTATGAGAATGGACATCTGGATCCACCTGATATTGGAAAGCTAGTGCATCGTCAAGGACTCAAGCAGAAAGCAGAGAATGAAAGGGAGTTCTTGGGTCCCCACACCATGAAATTGTCAGAAGTAAACAGATCATCAGATGGTTCTGTTTCTGTACATAACAAGGATCAGACTCAATTGTTAGTTAGAGATAAGAGGAGAGAGGTTTCTGCTAGAAGTCCACTTCGAGCTCCACTTGGGATTCCACTATGCCCAGTTAGCACTGGTGGGGCACTCAGATCTCTGCCTCTCAGTAGTAGCAGTAGATGCACTAGCACGTTTGATGATGGTTCTTTATTGGATAGTCTAACATTAAGGGAACGAATGGAGCACATCTCTTCTGCACAGGGTCTTGAAGGAGTGTCAGCGGAATGTGCTTATATATTGAACCTTGGTTTGGATTCTTACATGAAGCATTTGATAAGTTCTTGCATTGAACTTGTGGGGGTTAGGTCAGGGGACGAGCTAACGGTGAACAATAGGCAAAAGCATCAGGCTTGTATGAAGGTTGTTAATGGTGTCAGACCAGGGCATCAAGATCAGATGCAAGGTAGTGGTAGGCCTTTGGACGTGCAAGAACATAGAACGCACTGCCCAATTTCTTTGCAGGATTTTAGGATTGCCATGGAGCTGAATCCGCTGCAACTTGGTGAAAACTGGTCATTGCTGCTGGAGAAAATATGTACACATTCATTTGAAGAATAACATGGAGCTTGGATTTGTTGTTTTCCCAATGGTTGTATCTTGTTTTTACTGGATCTTAACTCATAAGGCATCTTGTGTAATGTTGTTCATCTCGCCCCTAGAGTGACGTTAAATATGGCGATATCTCATTCAGGGCCTTTTGATCCAGAGTGGTGCTCTTGAAGTGAAACTATATCTCTTGCAAGATGACGGGCCAGAGCAGACAATCTTTATCTCTTCCTATTAAATGGCCTGTCTTCATTTGGAAGTACTCCATCAACTGCAACCAGTCAGATGAGAAGAATGCCAGATTTGGTTGCACTGTTTTACCATTAGCACTATGGTCGCTTCATATTTTTCTACTTTCTTCTGTAATTACAGCCACCGAGAAAATTTAGAACATTTTTGCACTAATAATGTGTAGTTCAGTGCTTTAGCAAAAAAGTGGGATTGCATGATGCAATAATCAAGTGTATGTACCTTCAACAATTAAGATTGATTGGAATCTCAATAGTAACAACATGTCTTCCTCAGCTTCTTTGTTCTTTAAAATATACAGGAGTTAGTGTGCCCTTGGCAGTGTCTATCAGACAAAACATGCTATTATTTGTATTGCTACAAATTTTTTTTTCTTGTAATATAGTTTAATGGCTAAAGGCATTTTCTTGGAATGAAATTTAATGAATTTCACTTCATAGGTGCTCAGATAGCACGACGTAGTGAATCTTGTTTTTAATTGAAGATTTGCTTCTTTATATATCATGAAGAGGGACAGACAATTATGGGCAATAAATGATGACTTGTATGTCCAATAAACTTATGTTGCTTCTGAATAGCATTAATTCAAAATTATTCATGTGACCAGATATATACTTCACCTCAGGTTCTTTCTGCATTTTGTTGCTTCCTTTTCTTTTTAAATATTTTAATCTTACTTTTCTTCACCTGCATTAGACAACTTAATTTTAGATGAATCACTGTAGCATCTTATAAGTAATCTAATTGAGTCTTAAAGGATAAAATCAGATTTTTCTTATTAAATACTACTTATTAAGGCTATTTTGTTTCTTGTTGGAGCATTGGCACTGATTACAGTGTTCTGTCTGATGTCATTAATTGCTCACTTGTTCAAGATGACAGGTAAGTTGAAATTCAAGTCAAGTGAACCGAAACTTGAGTTGAAATGCTAGGTTGGAAATTGGAACTCAAATCATTTACAAACAGAAATGAATAACACATCATCCTTCTTCCGGTCCATGTATTATAAGATTAACAATTTCTATTGCAGGTCAGACTGAAAGAGAGCTTTCTTGATGAATTTGTAAATTTTCTAGCTTCCCAGTAGAAATTTTTTCTTGAAAACAGTGATAATTACTTTTCTCATTTGCCCTATGTTTCTTCTTCAGGAAATTGAAATGATTATGCAGTCTTCAAGTGTACTATTACTGGGTATTTGCCTCACATTCCTCCTCATGCAATCATAATTCGGAATGCGATTTGATAGTGGACCTAGTTAACATGTTGAGATATTGAACCTTTGAGCTCTTTTGAACTATAGTATGAAATAAATAATATTTTATTGGTTTAAGTTGGAAATAAATAAGTTACTTATATTCATGATAAGTTAATTTCAAAATAAGTAATTTTCTCCCTTAAAAGCAAGAACATGGTAAGTTATCCAAATATGTTTGGCAACAAAAAAAGGCATAGTCGAAATGCTCTGACTACTTTTCTACTGTTATAGCCGTTGCTCTCTTGTATGTGCTTATATATATATATATACTTCTGCTCATATTACATTAGGTATAGTCAAATTGCAGTTTGCTGTATTCGAATTATTTTGTGTTTAAGATGCGCAGTGATGAGTTATCAGTTTCCAACCTAGGAATGTGATGACAGCATTGCACTCATAGAACCACGGTAAGAATATGCGAGAATTCCGAAACATTATGCCCCCACAATAATACTGGTATGAAACATGTACATTTTGAGAAGATACGAAAACATAACGTCAATTAATGCCACATCAGGGATCATGCCTTATCTACCATATAAATAAATAGCATCAAAATGCCTTACCAAGTATTAACAAGTAGAGGTTTAGCTATGTAATCAAGATCAAATTTTAAAGCTCCCAATGTTTGATGATGCAGAATGAGACAGAAAAAAGAAAAGAGAAGGCAAATTAGATAGAAGAGAAGAATAATAGAGGAGTAAAGAAGAATTCTGGTTGAAGAAAAACTCAATAGACTTGTAATCTGATCGATGTTCAATGTTATCTCAACGAAAATCATAGGTTCCCTTTTATACTGCGAAGAGTTAAGGGGACTCGTAGTGAGCCACAATCTTAACAAAATTTCAAACTAAACAAACCTAATCTATATCCAATTCTATTTTTAATTTTCTATCAAAAACACTTTCAATCTCCCATCATTTGAAGTTCCTTAAAGAACACTTGTTCCAAAAATATCTTCTAAACACATGGTTCTAGCTCAGTTTCTGAATCAATCAGAGATATTCTACCATTTTATCACCATCATTTTAGCCACCATCTTTGTAGTTATTTATTGCTATTTATAAACAACTATTTTTGTTATTTTAATAACTAATACTGTATCACCACCGTAAGAACTATCAATTTATATAGGCCTTGCAAACAATTCTTCATGACTGTTCATCTAAAATGTACATGTGGTTGTATATGAGGACCAGAGGCGTAGCTAGGTTAATTTGATGGACGTCTTGATGAATTATTTGGGTGTCTGCGGAAAGGTTCAGTCTGTTGTTGGACAAGATGAAGGATAGCCATGGGAACTGAGGATCTTAAAGATGGGAAGAAGATATTTAAAAGGAGAAAGGATAGGAGTTTTCTAGATTGTTGCCAAATCGATTCAGAGGTTTGGTGAGAGATATGGGAAGATTAAGGACAGTAAGAAGAAGCGAATGATGTAGTTAAGGAAGGTGATGGGTTTCCAGACAAAGTTGCTACAGGAGTATAATGTCAAGGTGCACACAGGTGACGATTTTAAAATACTGGAAAAGATGGACAAGCTGGAGAATGACGTAATGATGTTTCTGCAAAGATTGGAGGGGGGGTTATGCTTGTAATTTAAACTCATTGAAGCATGTGAGATATTTCTTGGTAAAAGGAATGCTTGCTTCCATGTTGGGAGGAGGAGAAACTGAGGACCCTTGGTTCATTTCCTGACTACCTCTCTATCGGACTGTCAAAAATCAAAAGTATGCTTTTCTTGTTTGCATATTTGATCAACAACAGGTATTCTTTGATGGTAATTGGTTTTGTCCTGTTGAAGACTAGATTTTAATACATAGATTTGTCCCCTCTCCAATGACTTAAGCTTATAGATGAGGTGGTTCTAAACATATTTCTGCATTCAAGAGTTGTCATAGATTATTTGTGTTCATGCTTCTCGTGTTAGGTGAAATATACAGTATGCTGTTTCTTCATCCTTATGGGAGCACTAAGGCACATGAGTTTCATGCGTATCTCAGGTCTGGAAAAAACTTGGTATATAAATATTCTTGATTTATAGGTTTTGTGGCTTCCTTTTGTCTACTTAACAACAATATGCTATTCTGTAATTATTTTTCGTTTCTACTTTTGTTGTTGTAAGACATTAGTGGAAGACCATGCCTGTGATGCATCGAAAATAGTAAATAGAGACGGAAAAAAATAATATGAGACCAATTAATGTCGAGATTTTCCCTTTGCACCAATATTTTAGTATCGAAACATATTAAACCCAAGGAATCTCCCTCATTTGAAATGTATGGAATAAAAGTAGAGAAATTTTATTAGGTGATATAGCCTTGTGAACTTGTCAATACAATTAATAACCACAATGATTTGACCTCTTTAGTGGGTATCTTATAAATAACTTGTGAGAGGTTATATTATACCTTATGTGGAGCATTATTTCAAATATGTTTTGGATGCAAAGTGGTGGGGTAGTGATGGAGACCGAGGTGCTTTTTATTTTTATTTATGTGTTGGGTGACGAAATAGAATAGGCTTGCGGCTGTTGAATCGGCTGATTGTCTTCATAGATGATGAGGTTCACCTGTTAAAAAAGGCCTGATAAGATACTTTTATGCATGTTTGGTAGGCAGGATTGGATAGCATTGGAAGGTATTGAGGATCGAAGCTAAAATCTTGTTCATTATACTGTCCACTTCAGTACTACATACCAAACACATACTTGCTGGGTTGAATTGTGCAGTTGATAACGTGTAGCTGGAAAGAAAATAGTTTCCTCATTATGCCACAGGAATCCAGCTTACATGATGTTCTGCATCTGATGTGTCAATTTTTTATGGAAGTCCTTATATTTTCTAGTGAATGTAAAATAGCTAAGGAAAATGTTGAGCATTCTAATGCACTATTTCATTTTTGTTTTTTTTTTCCCGTCATTTCTATAGTATTAGTCATCCCATCGTGACATTCCATATGGTGTAAAGTCCTACCATCCCAGAATTGTTGGTGACCACCTACTCAAGGGAATAACTTTTTTCTAATATTGTTTAAAATATACGTTCTTTTATGCATCAGGGAACGACCAGATTTTTTTGCTACTTATCATGATACAGTGTTGTACTAAGGTGTAGTAATTTCAATGGCCTTGTTCTGATCTGATTATCACATTGGAGTTGCACATATTCAAATCAAGATTAATTCATGTGATGTAACAAATTTAGGGCACTCCGTTTTTGTGTGATCCCAAAACCTGAACTTCATTTCATACTATTCGCTGCATATTTTGGATTGTTTAGTTTGATCCCCAATATTTATGTACAGATAACATTTCTCGGTAGATTTGGATTTACATCTGAGATTTTTGATTCATCATTTTCTCTGTGTATCATAGCAGTCGTGAAGCACGTCTCTTATATCCAGAAAATTCTGACATTGTTTTAGCCCAAGGAAAAACTGCCTGGAATTTTCAAGAGTTTTCGTGTTCTCGTCTAGTGAGGAGCTATTTGTGTTGCTTATACTTGCACTA